GTACCTCTGGTGCAAATTACTGACCTCTGTCATCATTTTAAGTGGGGGAACTTGCACAATCGGTGGCTGACTAAATACTTTTTTGCCCCACTGTATTGTTTTGCTCAATTTTAGGTATAAAGATGGAATGATCCTGGACTTGTCTTCTGGAAGATATCTGGTTGAAGCAAAAGGTGGAATCCACTCCCTGGAGATCCCAAGGTACATTAAGTTCAATAAAGGTTAGAGTTTTTGAACATATTTTTATTTATCTGCCACCAATTTACTAATAGCAGTCATCTCATGGGATTTTATATTGTAAGGTAAAGACCCCAAAAGAGAAGAAAATCCAATAATACAGCAGTCCAGCACAATAGTGGGAAAAACGTTTCCCACTATGGTGCATCTTTCTCACAAAGGGCTTTTCCTTTAACTTTGAACTTTAAGAATGGGTCACAATCTAAAACTCCCGTCTCTTTCTGTCCATGTCTGTACGGCTCTCTCCCTCTCCTTGATGTTACTTTTTTGAATCTACATTTTATAAGACATCCCAACTTTTTTGGAAATGGGTTGTAGTTTGCTTGTACTTGTCTGCTTCTGTGTTTTCTTAAGATGAAGTGCACTGAGTTACAAGGCCACTGGTCTCACTGCCCAAATATCGGGATTAAGAATATGTAGCGAGCCATTGGAAATCTCCTCCTCCTTAATTCTTTCAAGCCCCATGCACAAAATTAGATCAGAGATGTTTACCGTCTGTCACCTGAAGGTGTGGGCGGGCTGTGTAGTTAAAGTCAGGGGACTGGAGCTTATCCTACTCTCCCTCCAGTCTGTGGAAGCTCAGCTGTTCAAGTGCTGACCTCAGTGGTACGTGATACTCTGGGAATCTTTCAGGCCACCGCTGTTTCCTTACTTACACACTGTACAGCCAGCAGTTAATACTCCTTGGAGAAAAAACACCCATGAAGCACATCATACTCTTGAGTACTGCATTCTTACCATGACTTATGACTTTTTAAAATAGCTAAATAATTAAAATAACAGTTACCGCAAAACTTTAGCATGGCATTAAGCAGGGTTAGAAATAGACAGCAAGAAGTTATGTTATGTATAGACACCTCACGAGTCCTACACCTACACACTGTATAGCTTAAGTTATTTGCGACTTAATGAGAGTACATTCGCTGTTCTCCCCCACATTACTTCTGCAATTTATGCTAATAACATCCTCTTTCATGACTATATCAGTTTATTAATTTGTCAAGGGGTCAAAGTCTCATGTCACATGCTAAAGGTGTGACATACGGTTGTGGAAAAGTGAGCGGTATGAGCAGAAACAAAAAGACCACTTAAGTTTTGCAACTTGCCAGAATGGCCAAAGATCTGTAGCTACACTGCTCTATAGAAAACAAATCCAGTAACCTCTATGTAAATATAACGTAGAGAAAGCTTAGCAGACACAGTGCTTGTGATGAACTGCATTGCAGCTCTAACATATTGGCAGATTATAAAATCCGCCCACACAGAAGATACAATTAACCCCCTGCCCTGTGACCTTGTTTCCAACTCAAAGGACTATGCACTGAGTATTCTGCAAGCACTGCTTTGTTTGTCAGGTGAGATTTGGCACATGGTGTTTCCTAAAAGGAAAGCTGTGGGTCTAAACCAAAACATTCTCTGAATAAGTAAACCAAGCATTGTTAATTGAAGTGTGAATGGAGCTTTACACAATCTGTGCTCTGTCTTCTCCACTGCTGATTATCCCTGGCAACATGAAGCATTCATGTGGGGAATAATTGCTTATTTGGTGAAGTGGATTCATATACGCTGTTGGAGAAAATGCACAGTGGCAATGGGTCAGTAGAGAGCAGTTAGTCCTGTCAGGGCAGATCTTCTAATATGTAGCTCACCTGCTATTTAGGCAGTTTCGGTAATTTCACAGATGACTGTAAAATCCATAAGATTGCCATGAAGTCCCAGAATTTAGCTAAGTATGCTAAGTATGACACAGTGCTCAATCACCATTTCGTTTATTCTTTAATCTGTTGCAATCTGTTGGGAAATCTTTTGATCAAAATGCAACCATTTTATGTTTATTCTGTGTTCCAGATGCTCAACTGACGATACAGCTCAGTACACTGCTATGGCTGTAAACCTCCATGGACAAGCCTCCAGTCAGGCCTCCATTATTGTGAAGAGTAAGCCATTCAATCTGATAACCAGAGGCTTTAAGTGTAAAGCAATGGACGTGCAACAGGGTTGCACACGCTGACTCTCATACACACACAAGCCAACCCCCAAAACTCTAGACCAGATGCAAGAACGTAAACATTTGTTTATAGTTTAGTGTTGCTAACTGAGTTAGCCAAAGTACCAAAACACCCCAAGTCTGCCACCCATTCGCACGATCTACCACTCTGTTGCTACGATCCATAGCTTGCCTCAATCGACTCAATAAAGACTTTGTGAAACCAGTGCTATACTTGCGACACTGAGAGGTTAACTTACATCAGGGACTGTACACTTGACAAGGTGTACACAAACTCTTGATATGGAGCAGGCAACATGCCCAGACCAATTAGAAGAAACCACAGTGATGTGTGAGCAAAAGCGCCGCTTGTACTCCATAAATCAAATTCCAGTAATTATTTAATTGATGCTGCCTCACGATCATATGCTATGCCTCCAAGCAGAGAATATCCAACTTCCTTCGGTAATGATATTTCAAGTTGGGTTGATAACACTTTTGTGATTATTGTGGCAAATAACGATGAGACTGATTGCTGTAAGCAAAAAGGGAACTCTGTGACAGGAACTAGGTCTAACTAGGAAACCATGGACGTGGTTTTACAGTAGCAACCTATTAAGCACAATAATCGAAATACAATCACACCCCAAATCATAACCCACTATTCTCTAAATAGGAAGGCTAATTCACTATGGGACCATATGTTACAAAATCAACCCTGATTGTGCAAAACAGGATTTAAAACTAGCAAATTAAAGCATAACTTAAACTTGGGTTAACATTTGTGTCACTTCCCCAATAAACTTCCATACAATCAGACCCCCCACCCAACACAGACACACACACAGACCACAGGATTCTCCTTTTGCTGACTTTGGTTTCACTTCTGAGACTAGAGGCTACTTCACAAAGTGTCTATACCTACAGCTGAGTGTTTACTATGAGGAGTTACTTGTGCAATTAGAAACATTTCAACAAATTTCATGTAGGGTTATTTTACAATAAATGTTATTCATAAAAAAAGTAATCATATTTAGATGAATCATGCAAATCTGTAACTGCACATCTGTATTATTTCAGCTGGCCGTTGCTGCCAATCACACACAACGTTTACTGTTTTTTGTTGTTTTTTTGTGCAGGATTCAAGCAGGAGGAAGAGTCCTGTTCATATGCATGGCTGCCTTATGAAGGTAGGCAAAGTAATTACCTCCAGAGAACATCAGCACTAGATTTTAAAATACTCATAAATTACAACTGTAATACAATTATATCATTTAATATGAGTTAACATAATATTCCTCTATTCTCCTTTCAAAAGAGCGTGTGAAGCAACATGCTGTTACCACCAGTTCTACTATCTCTTTCATGTTATCTCTCTTCTTTTCCCCAGCTTCTATGCTTCCAAAGATCCATTACACTAAAATCCACATTACTTTTTTGGAGATGTTTGGACCAGTGTTTGCTACCGAGGGTGAATCTGCCACCCTTTCTGCTACCATGACCCTGGAGCCCAACCTGGCAAACCTACAGCCTGAGGCACAGTGGTACAGAGATGGTAATTGATATAAAATAGCACTTTATGATACAGTAATTACCCTATAATTGCTAGTAATATATGCTAAATGCCACAGTGACTGCCTGACCCAATCTAGCCGACACGCAGCCAGAGGCACAGCAGTGGTAAAAATTAGAAAATGTTATGGACACTATTTTTATTGCCTATTAATTATACCAAAAGCAGTTAAGTAGACTCAAGTAATATCACCCCAAATTTGTGAGCCGTTTCATTTGCTACGTGTGTGTCTGAGGTATAAAAGAAAATTCTAGCTTATTTTTGTTGTATGCAGAAAGGCTTTATTTACTCAAACTTGATGTTTCATTATTTTAGCATTTTATAGTTGAGGTTCATAAGAGTTATGCGGTGAAGCTGAGTCAATGAGCCTGTCTCATTTTTCCTAGACACTCGTCTGTTTGACTCTAAATGGGTGAAGATTGAAACTGGTAGAGGATTCAGCAAATTGACTCTTCCAAATCTCTACAAAGATGACGAGGGTCTCTATACCCTGCGCATGGTCACTAAAGGAGGCACCGCAGAACACAGCGCCTTTGTCTCAGTCGCAGGTAAGATGAGCCAAGCGTTGGACTGGATAAGATTAACGTATTTCTAAATCCAGTTTGGAAACTGGAGCTTAGATTTTATGAAACTGATACGGTTTTGCTGTCAACATAATACTTATTCTGCTAACTGCTAATGCTAATTATTATTGCTTCTTATTTCTTATGAATAATGTGATTATTAAAACAATGCACGTCATCACTTCCTGTCTAGATGGTCCTCCTCCAGTCCCTGCTGCACCTGGTGCTCCTATGGACATCAAGATCCATGATGCCAACAGAGACTATGTCATTGTGTCATGGAAGCCTCCTAATACAACTACAGAGGGTCCAATCCTGGGATACTTTGTCGACAAGTAAGAGTTACTGGTATAAACGCCATAAACAGATAAACTGGCCAGCATAAAGACAAACTAATTACTTTAAGTAATCCTATTGAGCTTACTTGAGTATCAAATTACTGTTTTTTTGTCTCAAGGAAGAGGGGCAGTCCATGTTCTCTTTATTGCACATAAAATACACAGCTGCTTTTGTTTATTTCTTCTGTCGCTCATATTTTAACCTACCTAAACAGAGCAGGAATGGGCATGCTCTGCTACCTATTGGCTGCTTTTCATTCTTTTTCAATCTGCATTTTTTTTGCTTAGCAAGCTCTTTTCCTGCTTATGTCTTTTTTTTTGTCTAGCATCATAATGAACAGATAATTTCAGCACAAGTGCTTTCAGTGAGGCTCCAACAGGTACACTGTTCTGATCTCATATACCAATCAGCATTTTTTAATAATATGGTAGCATACACAAAACATAAAACATCCATTATAAACTTGTACACATATTACTCTTTGCAATAGTTACATGTTTATAATGACTCCATGCCATACCAGTATTTTGTCAGATCTTTCTCTTTGCATTCATCTCATTAACTCTGCGACATTCTCATCTTTTCTCTTCTTAGATGTGAGGTTGGAACTGAAAACTGGACCCAATGTAACGATCACCCCATAAAGATCTGCAAATATCCGGTGTCTGGGCTGTTTGAAGGGCACTCCTTCTACTTCAGAGTCAGAGCTGTTAACTCCCATGGAATCAGCAAACCTTCTCGTATGTCTGATCCCATCACTGCAATGGACCCCACTGAGTTTGAGAGGCTTCACGGTGGGTTTAACTACACTAATACAGAGAAATGTCTAAGCTCACCTTAAAAATACAGTGTTTTGAAGTTTTGCCATGTGTCATGTTGTCATTATTGTAGTCACTGTTGTTTGAAATTATAACTGTCTTCTTGTTTCTTGCTAAACAGTTATTCATGTAGAATTACAATCAGCCCTGATTTAAAGCACATAATAAAAAACACATTATGTAACTAAATTATGTCATATTGTACTTATCTCATGCTTTTATTTGGGGGCAGGTTAGACTTGTAAAATACACACTAATCAGTCTATTTTATAGCATTAGATACGGTACATGTTCAGCTCCTATATAAACAACAAATTTGTATTTAAAATGATCTCAAAAAAAGGTCACTATCAATCACAAACACATGATGATCATCTCTTTATCTTCCTGTAGCCAAAAGGCTTGGAGGAAGACTGGATATCGTGTCTTACCATGACGAAGTTGAAGGTGGGTTTGAATTGAAGTTGATACATACATGTTAAGCAATTGAACAGATGTACGCAAGGAAGCGACTGGTTCGTGTATTTGTTACGCCACATATAATATGTATTATATTTTTAACGTTTTCAGTCTTGTTTCTTTGTAGCTGAAGGAAAGCCTCCAGGTGTTCCATCAGGAATTAATGCCTCAGAAACAGACAGGACCTATGTTGTTTTGAGCTGGAAAGCCCCAGCGTACACCAGCAGCGCTCCCATGTGGTACTACATAGAAAAGGTAACAAACAATGTCATATTCTAATTCACTGACTTCCCCCTCAACAGTTGTTTATAGTTTGACGAAGCAGTAACAGCAGTTTTTTTCTCCTTTATATTATGCAGCTGCATTAACTTGTGTTCCTAAACTATTTTTACAGGTCTTCTGTATAACACATATAGAGACAAGCCTTGGAAAAAATAAAATACATTTTTAAAATGTAAACAAACTTGCTTCCATGTCTCCGTCTCTCCACAGTGCATGGCAGACAGTGGCGCATGGCAGCGCGTTAACACCCAGGTCCCTATTCGATCTCCTCGTTATGCTGTCTTTGACCTGGCAGAGGGAAAACAATATAAGTTCAGAGTTTTGTCTGCCAACATTTATGGGACCAGTGAGCCATCAGAGCCAACTGGACCTATTCAGACTCAGGAACTCAAAGGTTTGCCTCCATTTTTCCTTTCCTGTTACACAGCAGTAGTGTTTATTATGACCAATTACCAGTTGCAACACCTTTAATTGTATTTCTGTGTTACTTCACAACAAAATGTGGTGTGGGTGATCTTCTGAACTGCTTACTACAAAAAGTTTTCAATATGTCAGCTGAGAGATTTGTTTCAAATGTTTCAAACATGAAGCTGACATAAAAATTATGGTCAGGTGTAAGAGGGTTGTGGTATAGATACTGAGTAGCAGCCACTTGAAAACCAGAAGAACCTAATATAAAGTATCCTTAATTGTAATTACAGTATTATGTAGCTATTTTTTATTTATTTTTTAATCAATTGCAGGCGTACCATCTGCTCCTGGTCAGGTGATTGCGACAAGGGAAACAGATACCTCTGTCCTCATCCAATGGGCTCCTCCAAAGGAACCTAATAATTTGATTGGTTATTACATTGACCAGTGTGTGCAAGGATCCAAGAATTGGACCTCAGCCAATCACAAACCTCACAAGAACGCCAAGTATGTTTCTAGCGACACACAAACACACTGTTGGGCTCAAAAATTGATTTTTTTCTCTGGCTGCTTATTACACAATGGGCTTTGTGTCACGTTTGTGTCTCTTCAGGTTTGTGGTTAGTGGTTTGACCACAGGAGAAACCTACATGTTCCGCGTCCAGGCTATCAATGAGCTGGGTCTCAGTGATGAATCCCAGGAGTCAGCACCTTTGACTGTTAAGGCTGCCCTTAGTCAGTAATGCCAAATATTTGCTCACTACTGCAGATGTTAACCATGATAACTGCCCCAAACCTTTTCATTTTAAAGAATTAAAACTCAATACTGTTCTTACAGCCACCCCATCTGCTCCTTATGACATTGCACTGCTGTACTGCGACGGCCATTCAATGATCCTGAACTGGAAGAAGCCTCTTCGCTCTGGAGGAGCAAAGATCAAAGAGTATTATGTGGACAAAAGACGTAGCGGAACAACCATGTGGAGGGAGGTTCATATCCCACCAATCACAGAGAGAGTTTATAAGGTATTTGGACTCTTTTTATAACATTCAAACATCAAAACAAACAGAAGAGGGCCACAATTTTGCATACATACTTGCATACTCTTCTTATTATATATCACACAAAAGTTAAGATACATATTATTTTATTTGGGATGGTCTGATTATTTTGTGCAAAACTGGCCTGTTCATCTCTGAAAGTGGCATGTCCATTTTGTTTAAATTGATAATGATAACTAGGATTTTAGTTAACCATGTAACATTTTATTAAAAGGTGGAGAACTTGACAGAGGGAGCAGTCTATCAGTTCCAGGTTTATGGAGCCAACCTGGCTGGTCTTGGACCAGCGTCCAAACATTCAGAAGACCTTACATGTGATGCCTGGACAATGCCAGAACCTGGTTAGTAAATTTCACTTTTTAGTGACTGACTTTAAACTCTGAGTCAAAAGTGAAGCTTTTACACTTCTAGAAAGATAAATATGGAATTGTTGTTCTTCTCCTCTCATCATCTGGCTCATATAGGCCCAGCCTATGACCTGACCTTTTGTGAAGTGAGAGATAATTCATTGGTGGTTGAGTGGCAAAAGCCTGTCTACACTGGTTCTGAACCAATCACAGGCTACCATGTTGAGTATGCCAAGAAGGGTACTGCTAACTGGATCACAGCCAATGAAAAAGCTGCCAGTCACCGCTTCCTAAAGGTGAGGGTATCACTGTTCCAATCTATGAATCATAGAGGTTATCCTCCACTGCTCATCAGAGATTTTACTCAAGCACGCAAGACAAAAGAAATTGGAATAACGCTTTTAATTTACAATATAACATATAGGTTAGACTAAATGTTGGCACTGCTGAAACAAGTGTAAAATGCAGTGCATGATGTTTATTATGTAACAGTGTGTTTCTTCATCTTTACTGAACTTTTTTTCCCCAAAACATCAATTTTCATCCACTTTTTCCAGCACTTTATTTACCACTACCAAAACTGCAGCAGTGTAGGTACAAAAAACTGTGTGACACTGACATCTAGTGGATGAAGCAAGTAACTACTTGGTGAAATGGTACAAAAAGAAAATCTGTTAAAGGTGAATCACTTATGTGTGATAATGGAACGTCAGTAAAGTAAAATAAGACAAGAATAATTATAATAATACCAAGACCATTTAGTGATCTAATAAAAATATGCTTTGAAACAATACGGATTACTCATGCATTATTAATATTTAGGGTAAGTTGCCTAAAAGAACAAGGGGAATTATAATAATAGATCCAGCTGCTGCTGGGCTAAAGGATGATATATTTTACATTCATTCACAGCACCAAGTGATCAACAAAATAAATAGTATTGTTAGATTCAGAATAGAATATGCTGTTATTATGTCATAATTTATTTACCTGTCAATTTTGCACAGGTTGAAAGTTACCACACCCATTTACAGACGTTCACACCTCCACTCCCCCTAGCAACAGATTGTCTGTTTGTGTCCTAGGTAACAGGTCTGGAGGTGGGCACTACCTATGTGTTCAGAGTGCGTGCAGTCAATGCTGCTGGAGTGGGTATGGCCTCAATGGCCTCTGACCCTGTGACTGCCAAGGCCGTGGCAGGTAACATTTAACAGCAGACAGAAACTGAATACCTTACTATTAGAATATTAGGGTATTAGAATTCATAAATATGTGTCTCCAAGTTCCTCTTTGTAAAGCATACAAAGTGCTATGGTTTTGCTTTGAGTGAGTGTTGCACTATTGTTGACAGTGGTGAAGGCAAGAGTTTAAGAGTGAGTGGACACATGTGATATCAATCCATCAAATATCAAAGCTCACATTAATAGCTGTTTAGGCTTTCTGGGCATTAACTGGAGACAAAAATGAGTCTAAAAACTATGTTTATCTGTGTGTTGAAGGTTCCCAGGAGGTGTCCTGTGTGGTGGATGAGAAGTCAGGTGACATTGTTCTGTCATTCGAGTCCTGCCAGATAAACGAAGGCTCCAAGTTCATCTGGAAGAAAGATTATAAAGAAATCACAGATTTCTCTAAAGGGGTAGTGATTAAATCCGAGGGCACCCAGTAAGACCACAGTCACACACATATATAACATGCATATGACATCAAACATTTGCATTCAATTTCAGCTTGAACAATCTCTCTAACTGTGTGTGTCTGTGTTTCTTTTCCGCCCTCCACTGCAGCTCTAAGCTGATCTTCAAGAACCCAGATAAGGAGGACTTTGGGACGTATTCTGTTTCTGTCACAAACACAGAGGGAGTGTCATCCAGCTACACAATCTCTAATGAAGGTGGGTTCAATTCATTGCTAAGTAAGGATGGCTCTGATGCTTAGGCACCCAGTCAACTGTCATGAAAAATGTGAAAATCTGTAAAAGAATCTGCAACTTAGACTTAATGAAATCTCTCATGTTTATGTTTATTTGTATTCTATACTCATGGCTCATTTGCCCTTGTTGACTTATGGTAATTTGCGATGTTGCCTTTATTATCTTAATCATCTCATCGCATTAGTTTGCATTCCATATCCGTTTCCTACCTCTGTTAAACTATTGCATGCAAATACCACTCATGCCTTGATCGTGAAAATTTGAACAGCTGTAGAGCAACACCCTAATAACTACATCAAAAGCGCAGACTTGAGCCAAAATCAAAAGAAAACTGTATCGGAGAACTAAGGCAGTGTGTAGAATGCAATAAAAGATGAAAGCAGTGAGAGCATACTTAAAAACAATCAGCCTGGCATGTAGGCAACAAACAATTTCATTACACAGCTGATGATACTAGCAGAGCGCATTATTTCTCCAAGCTTGGGGCACTGAACATGTTTTACCACCAGATCTTTGTGGCAAAAGGATTTCTGTCAGAAAGCTTCACAACGCTTTTCCTTCTATTGCACCAGTTTGCTACGAGGCTATAATACGTGGCTTCCACTGATTGCTTCCCATTCGGCCTACAGTTATTCCACTGTAACTCGCAATAATTTCTGAATTTCTAGCACGCAAGTATTCATTCATTTCAGTTATATCACAGGTACTTGGTGAGGCTCCAATAATACAACAACTCATAATACAGGCTGTGTTTCAGGGTAAGCATTCAGGGCCAGTTATGAGTCACAATGTAATTTTGTTCTTTCAGCTTTAAGCTTCAGTTTTAATGTTTTTGTTCCTTGATTTTCCTCTCCCTGACTTATCTGGTACCTCATCGAAGCTAATGGTAAAATTAGACCAATGTATAAAATGTCACATGTATGATAACTGCATGTCTGTGTCTATAAAATAATGTGTCTGTGCCTTATAGAGTTGGTAAAGATGCTGGCGCTCAGTTATGATATCAGACACCCAGGTAGGTACCTTTGGCTGACTCTTTCAATCTCTCTGAGTTTCTCTCTCTTTGTCCTTTTTAATCTCTTCTTTAAAACTTTCTCCTCTGAGTCTTAATCTGCCTTACCTGCTCACTTCATTTCTCGTTCTCCCTCTTTTATGCTTTTATTTTTCTTTCTTCTTCTGCCTTTGAAGATTTCTGATTTCTTTATTTTTTTTAGGGGCAGATTTCTCTTTTTATTTGATCCAAAAAAAAAAAAAGAAAAAAAAGAAAAAAGTCTTACCTGCTTTTGCATCACATTGCCTAAGCTCTTCTCCTTCTCCTGTCCTCTCCTCCTTCGTCTCCTCATTAAACAAGGACAATAATGTTTTGAAACCCCTTACCCTTCCTCCCTCTTGTCCTCTAGTCATCCCGCTGAAGTCTGAGTTGGCCTATAAGATTCTGGAGAGAGGCCGAATGAGGTTCTGGCTGCAGGCTGAGGAGATTTCTTCCAATGTCACCTACAAATTCTTTGCAAACAACAAGGAACTGTCTGGAGCTGATGTAAGATACATCTTAGTTTACCCGCAGATTGTAGTCAGTTCCTACCTATGCCACTCTCCCTATGCAGTACTTGAAATTCATGGGTGTAGAAAGTCATGCAAATGGAAAATGAAGTCCAGAAAATGATATATCAGTTAGCCAGGTAGTCTTCTTTCAGCTGTAATTTTTGCGAGGCTCAAACTGAAAGGTCCCAGAGTATGGGCTAAACCATTTAAGTGAGCCTTGCAAATAAAAACAGAAGAGATGAATGATTTATATTCTAGCTTCAAGGTGAACAACCTACTTTTCTATCAAGACAATAGTTCAGTCAGCTGTTTTTAACTACACAAAAGTTATGATAGTCACAAAGTCTGTCGTCAAGTAGGCTTTTTAAAATTACAACTCTATTTTTCTGCAGCCCAACAAGATGGCTCATGACGTCGCTACAGGGATCATTGAGTTCATCATGGATCATTTCACTGAGGAGAATGAGGGGACATATACCTGCCAGATCACAGATGGAGGAGGAAAGGCACAGAGCTCACTGGTTCTGATTGGAAATGGTAAGAGGGGCCAAGGTTTACTGCTGTCCTACGATCAGCCTTTCAAATGTGGTTCCAACCCAGTCGGACCCCACAAAACCTGCAGTATCCGACTACATTCAACAAAAAAAAAGAACAATACCCTCTGGACTGTATTTTTATTTTTATTTTAAGTGGATGTGTGCAGAAAGAACTTATCACAACCTCTTATTTTTCAGCGTACTAATTAGGGGGTATGCTGTCAAGCCTAAGCCAGGAGAAACACAGACATGTAGCAGAGAGTGTATAGAATGGGCTTTTTTGTATGACAGTAGACTTAGCATCTGCTGCATTAGAGATCCCATTATGGAAATGTATTAAGCCCGTTAGTGTAGAGAAGGGTTTGAACTTCATGTCTATAGGACTCCCTAAGACTCAACTAAAGATGCTTGATTTCATAAATTATGATTCTGCTCTCATATGGGGGACCACTAAAAAAAGAATCTATAGCAACACTTTGATCTTTTAATTATTCTCCGTTTATGTGTATCTGTATGTGCACATAGCTTTCAAGGCAGCACTGGCTGAGGCTGATTTCCAGAGGAGAGAGTACATCAGAGTCAAAGAGGGTAAGAAATACAAAACATCATCCAATTTTAAGCTTGTAAGAGCTTTGTTCTTAATTTAGCCTGAGACCAGCACAACACTATGTTACCCAGGAGATAACTAATGAGTGAGCATACAGGAGAGAAGTACACTATCTTTACATAAACTCTCGAGCTGCAACCTTAAAACCACACATCAGTTAATACAGCTTATAACAAGGTTCCTCAAGTGTTTTGTAAAAGCTTATGTCCATTTTCAAGGCTTCCTCTCATGTTTCCTTTCACTACAGGCCCCCACTTTAGTGAGTTTCTATCACTTCAGATTGGGGATGACTGCTCTGTCACTTTGGTCTGCAAGGTAAACACAGTGGTACTCGATATTTATTGAATATTTACAGTCTGACAAATGGGAGGCTCACTTACTGAGCAGATATTCTATGGAGACTAAGTGTGGATGCCACAGTGCTGCGTAACGATAAGGTCCAGACAGATAATAACTCGAATTGTCACGGTTTTTCCTGCCCTTGTTAGAATGAAGTATATTATCAAGAACATTTTAAAATTAAAGTGGCCGTTTATATGCTCGGGGACAGTTAAGTTGACATCAGCATATCTTTGATTTATGCAGAGATATAGTAAATATATGCATTCATTATTTGACTGTTGAGTATCAAAACAGAGTAAGCTTAAACATCAACCAGTTTTCAGAAAAATGCTCTACTTCTAATATGGGATCATTTAGGGTATAATATGTTGCAGAAAAATATAAACAGCCTCAAGTTTTTTTGGTTGAAAGACAGGATTTACGTTTTAATCCATCAAGTGGGTGAGAATTACTGCAAAAAGTCGATGAGGTACAGTTATGTGCTAACATTTGGGAACCTCTGGTTGACTTGTTGACTTTTGTAGGCAAGAATAAGTGTACTTGTACTGCAGCAAACAGGCATTTTAAATAACCCCTTCTTCAAATGCTAATGCACTCTTACCATATAGTTCATTAACTAAACAGCCAAGCATTAAACTGTGTTTTACCATTTTCTCCGATTAGTATTATTTTTATATTCAGAAAACAAAAGCACCAATGTATTAACATTTAAGAGATTTGTTTTTCACTTTAATCCGTTTGCTGCAGGCATTTGCTTCCTTTGTCTTTCAAAAGCCTCGTCGACATCTCTTGATTTTCCTAAACTACCACATAAACAAGACTTTATATACAGCACATCACTGGTCATCTGGATTTGCATTGTTCGATGAATTGTATAAAATATAAAGTGTGTGTGTGACAATAAAACTTCACTTCCTGTTTTTCGAAAATAATAATACGCAATTTTAATTGATTTTAACAGGTTGCTAACTTGAAGAAGGAATCAGTGTTTCACTGGTTTAGAGAAGACACGGAGATCATCCCGGATGTAAAACCTGACCTGGGATCAGGAGTCTGTAAACTGCCAATTAAAGAGGTAAGAGCACACTGTGGCACTAAAGACTATGTTTTTGTTTTTTCCCAACGCTGTCCTCATGGTGTGTTTAAAATTGACAAATCTGCATTCCCTATGTTGCACTGTTTCTTCTCCAGTTTTCACTGAAGACAGCAGGAATTTACAAAGCCACCATCAGTGATGACAGAGGAAAAGATATGAGCCAAATAAACATTTCTGGAAAAGGTAAACATGTTCTCTATTTTTGCAGTTCATCTTACCGCTTAATAAAAATGACAAGTTCACTGTCTGGATAGTTAGCTTGATGTCTTACTGAGCAAGTATAATTGTTTAACTACAGTATATTATTCTTACAAAAAGAATAAATAAAATGCTTGACATGGGGAAAAAATGTTATAAACTGTTTCTTTTTTTCACTGATTTTTCCTCAAAAGCAGCAGGATACAAAGTAGATATATTACCATACTGAAAAACAATTGTTCCTATTTTTTCTAAACAAAACCACAACACAAGAAAAAAGGAAATAATAAAAAAGCCTCGGTCTACAAATTACATCTTGAATGATTCATAAATTATGATTGGTGCCAAAACTGTTAAAATTAGTCAGAAACATTTTTTGTCAATTCCAAAAGGCAGCTCCCCTCCAAAAATATCTCGTCTCCCTTTTTTATTCTACGTGTCACTTGTTTGAATGTAACTATTTTGCATGCAGTTTGATCTGCTATCCAAAATAGCTCAGATTGCTTGATTTCCAGTGCGTTAATGTTGTTTTACATCCTGATGTCATAGCCAGTGGGACCCATAACCTCTTCATTTCACTTAGTCTGATATTATCTGGTAACAGACCCAGAACACTTAAAACTGTGAGTAAAACAACTGATTCAATAGGTATAATAGCTTCCCAGAATAACACTTCATTTAAAAAAATAAAAAAACCCAAAAAAACCCACTTTCTCAAATTCCTCACAGATGTTGATGTGCCTAAGTTTAATATGTTTGATATGTGAAGATGTTTATATATGAATTAACTGAGACTGAGCTTCACATGAACAAGTATGCCAAGAAACAATCTGCTGAAAGTGTACCTCACAAAACAAATGCAGGTATTTACACTGTTTCACTATGTTGGGTTGGGAAACCATAGAGTAACAGATTCCCATGTTTTCATTAAACCTTCCTTACTGAGCTCTGAATGCAGCCACCAGAGAGCAGCATCATGCCTTTCCATCCTCTTGGCTCCGTCTCTGACCCCGTGTTCCTCTGCCTTTCTTCTAGTCTTTGACGATGCCATAAACAAGCTCAGCCAACTGGCTGGTAAGTCGCTGCATTCTGCACATAGACACACACACCAATAATCTCATAAAGAGACATCCATGTTAAAAACGGTACGACACACCACCAGCACCACCCTCTACCCACTGTAGGCATCCAGTTCAAATTATCTAAATTTAACATGGCACCATCAAACCCCAGTGATGAGAGATTTGGTAGATCCGTCATCAGGCTGATATGGGTCTTGTTTTAAAAACCCTCTGCTACACACACACACACACTTATCAGCGTGTGGCAGAAGTTGTCATGCTGGAAGCATTTGGCCATCGTGCCATCATGTGGTGAAATCACTTTAAAATTCCACTGCGCTGTCACAGTGACAGTGTGGAGGAGCATCTTACTCCTATTTTAAGAGACAGTCACTTGACAGCTCTGCAGCAACTGTTACAGCAGTGGCTGCAGAGGAGAAGAGGGTTCATTACTGTGATAATGGGAAACCATGGTGATGTGACCAGGTGGATGACACACTTGCCCACTTGTAATGTGCAGTGAGGAAAATCCGACACAGACATTGTGGAGTATAAAATGCCCTTTTAGGTATAACGGCTTAAAAAAAAAGTTAATAAAACCTGTCATGGTTGAAGTGCTTTACTGAGTGCCAGGATATAAACAATCTGCTCTTTGCTTCATTAGCAGAATTTTCCTCTCCAAGCTGGACAAAAGGGAATTTCAAAATAGATCCTACAAATGGCTGAAAATGGAAGTTTGTTTTTATTCAATTAATTCATCTCTGCATGCAGTAGCTTTCACAGTATAGTGAGGTCACAGAGTCCAGCAGCTGCAGGAAAACATGTATTTCACTTTGATTTCAAACGTGGTCCTCACAACCTCCATCGCCTCCATTACCTCCTCCAGGAGCCAGTGCAGCAGAGCTTGTGATAAACTGCACAGCAACAGGCATTCAGCTGCAGTGTCACATGAAGTATTACACCTCAGAGATGAACATCACCTGGTATCATGGGTAAGGAATTAGATTAAACACAGAATTAACACCGCCTCACAAATACAAACATAATACCAAATAGTTGGAGTACGAAGATGAAGGTAAGGAACGGAGGAAGAAAATACGCATAACTCCAGTATTTGTAGTCCTGGTAGTTGTTTTACTAGAGTATTCTTTTAAGTCCACCTATAAACATGCTGACCACAAACGCATTATTCTGGTTTTCCCTCAAGTTAAACTGCCGCGAGTGGGAAAAACAATAAGCCGCATAATAAAACTTCTGATGGGCTATTGGCAAGTGGTTTCATTATCCCTGTTATTGCAGTAAAATTGCCCCATTTTGTGACAGAAATCACACAGCTATTATTTTCTATAGAGAAGGAAGGCTTTTCTGCACTTAAAAGCACTCCAGTTCACTCCAGAGATTATAAAATGTTAAAAAAATGGGTTCATGAAAGAAAAAGTGGAAAGAACAATGAAGTAAAACTGAATAAAAATTATGAAGCTTTTATTTTAAAACATCTCACTGTCTTTTCTGTGGGTTTGTGTAAGAGCAAGAGGTCGGCATGACATTAGCGAGGCATGTAAATATGATTTTCCATTTACCTCACTCGCTCAAAAAGAAACCCCCACCACACAAACACACACTAACCTCTCTTTTCTTCTCCTCAGTGAGACTAAACTCTCCCACAGTGACAAGATTGTGATTGGTGGAACCCCGGCTATGGCAACAATGGAGGTATTATCATCTTTTATACAAAGCTGAACAGTATATGCTTCGGAGGAATCTCACACATCAGTAGCTTTATGACAGTAAAGCACCTCAGACATTGGTGCTGCTGCTCGTCTGTGTTGCTTGTAGAAGTCCTCAAAGTGTCTTTGCAGAGACGAGGAAACTTTGAGATAAATTAAAGGGATAATCACAAGGGAAAGCTAATGAATAAAAATGGTTTAAAATTCATTAAAGTTGATTAAGTAGCGTGTCTTCCGATTGTTTTGTCAGAAAGCTTTATAATTGTAATTAGCCTACCTGTTAAATTAATCTCATTTTAAATCATAGCTCAAAACACGCAAAGCAGAAATAAATACCAAGACACTGAGTTGATGCCTCTGCCGTCATGTGGCTGATCATTTTTTTGCTGATTGATTCACAGGTAGTTGAACCAGTGGAGAAGGACAAGGGCAAGTACTCCATCGTGATCACTGACCCTGAAAACTCACATAAACGCACACTGGACCTCAGCGGTGATGGTCAGTACTTTCAGTACTTTTCCTCTCTTATTTCCTTCCCTCCAGAGTTAATTCCTGTTTTTATCGATAACTCTGTAAAAAGAGGGTAGAAAATAACACAGTCACTTGTTTTTATGGCTGTCTTTCAGCGTGTAGTCTCTCTGGTTATACTTCAGCTAGTCTTTGAGTATGAAAGTCTCCAGTTTCATACTGCTGCTTGTGAGTTACATACATTTGAGTGTGGATCGGATTACATACACAACAATGCAAAAGTCTTGAGCTACTCTTTATTTCCCTAATCGTTTGAAAGACAGAAAGCTTTGAAAATTTTTTCTTTGGACATTAGCTGCTTTTCACTCATTTTCTGGCTAATTATAGAGGAGTGGTTTTTTTGGTTTAAACCACCCAACACTGACCTATGTATCATTCAAGCATAAAAATGGCCACCAACTCAACGGTTGAAGCAGTGTTGTGTCTACACATAACAGAAAAATTAGCAAAGAACCATTTTTAAATTGTACCTTTAATAATTACTGCGGCTCAAAACTTTTGCACAGCACTGTATGGAAAAAATCTCCATTAAAACTTCTCAAATTTACTTTTTTGATTTATGACACATTCATGAGTGTTATAACTGAAAGGTGCATTCCTGTATTACCACCATTTTAAAACTATTAATTTCTTTTAAAAAAATGTTACCATGTTCATTAGCAGGAAAAGGGAAAGATTCTGTTTTGATATTATAAAGACTATTTTGGTTCTAGGTGTGTCTAAATTTAAAGGAAAGTAAACTGGCATGTGCTGTGACAGTGACTGTTTTCTGTTTTTGTGTTTAACAGTATATGAGAAAGCCTTTGCAGAGTTCCAGAAACTAAAGTAAGACTATATTCTCAAAGCTGTTTTCTTTTTTTTTAAATCTTGTGCCTTTATGTGTCAGACTGGCTCGCCTAATGATGAATCACTGCTTCCTTCACATTTGCTTCATAACTGTGAGTTTGACATCTAATAGTTCAAAGTAATGATTTCCCAGGCTACACTGTGTTCACATACAGAAAACAATAGTCTTGTTTTCCTGCTTCAAATAATGTAAAGAATGAGGTTTTCTATAAATACACGTATATTCGACTCTCTCGTTCTGATTGTATTTGAATAGTAAAACATCTATTGGAAATTTCATTAACATTTGTTTCTCCACATTTCAAACAGTGCAAAGCCTTCAGATCATTTGAGACACTGCAGAAGGATTGTATGAGCCTTTGTAACCACTATATGCTCAGTGTTAATCAGTGTAGATCCATGCATTGATTAGACTTGTCACTTTAAAATATCAGTGCACTCCTAACTCCAAACTGCTACACTAAAACTAACTGCTTGTTTTGAATATTTTAGTTGTTTAATTAGCCTGTGCTTTGCCCTGTAAGGACCTGTGCAAGTCTGACTCCGGATTTAATCCCAGAATAAAGTTATGATTTTCAGATTAGATCACTATATTATTTGATGACTTATTCTCCTTTTTCTGTGACTGAAGAAACTGTGTGTATGCTTTAAATCACTACTGCATGAATGTAGCATGCTGCAAATCGAATCAGACGCTTCCCTGGCACTATTGCATGAGCAGAATCTAAAGAGCTCCAAGAGGTGTAAAACTTCTGCATGCAAGTATGTTTTTTTTTCACCTACAGCTACAGTTTTGAAAAGTCTTGTTAAATCACTGCAACTCGAGTTGCATAAATGATCAATACAGCATTAGGAAAAATTACCCTGCATCTTTAAGTTGAGCAAATTCAAAAACTCCAAGGCTGGCTGTCTGGAAAGAGTCCAGCGCATTATAATTTGAGATAAAAATCTTGGTTAAAAATAGAAGCAGTCAGGTAGCAGAGATCCTTTGGGGTCTGTCGGCTAATTGGGCCAAAGCAAACCCCACACCCACACACACATTTTGCAAATCCTTTTAGGAAAGGGATTGAGACTGCAAACACTAAACACTGCATGCAGTGTGGAAACCATCCAAATCCCTTTTCCAATTAACATTCAAAGAGAGACATTTAAGCACAAGACTTTACAAACACATTGAAACAAGTGACACGCTGTTACCCTTTTGATTGAGCATCAACTTGCCAAGAGGAGAGCAGAGTTTCCCCAACCATCTGGTCCTGTGGCTGACCTCTGGTCCTGCCATGCTGCTCCAACAGCCCTCACATAACAATATCATTTTTCCCCAGGAAATATACATGAAACTCCTGAAGTAAACAATATTAAAAGGAGGTTTGGCTGTAAATCTAAAGCACCTTGTAGCACACCATCTGACCACTGTTAGTTAACCGTAAGGAAAAAGAAAAAAACAAAGAAAAAATGATGTGTGGTCAGAGCCAGGTAATGAAAGCTAACCAGAAACGACTTGGCTAAAGTAAAACTTGAACTAAATAAAGATTTGCTAGTGACAGAATTTATATAATAATACAAAACTGCTTTGATTTTTCAGGGCCGAGGCATACGCTGAGAAGAGTAAGTTTATCCTCCTGTTCTCCTTTATATAATAGCTTAATATAATAAACAATAGGAATAACCTAGAATGTTAACAACTGTTTGTTTTAGACCGTGGTAAGGTGGTGGGAGGACTGCCTGATGTGGTCACCATTATGGAAAAGAAGGTAGGCGTGTAAGTGTGTGAAACTGCATGCTTTCGGTCTCATTTTGCTAATAGATATTTTTTATGCTTTCTGTAGACTTTGAGTTTAACATGTACAGTGTGTGGAGACCCCAAACCTCAGGTGTCATGGCTGAAGAACGGATCGGAAGTCGAGCCTGATGATCAGGTAAATGTGTAAATGTGTTATTGGAGTTATGTCAAAATAAATTTCACAACTTGTTTTCAGCTAATTAAATTGTGTTTGCAAGTCACATATACAACCAGTTCATATTCAGACGGGGCTTTGTACTTTTATTTGATTCCTTCCCGATAAATACTGCCTTATTCTCTGACTCTGTTTAACCTCTTCAGAAACTCAACTCCTCCCCTCCTGTCTCATGATTAATTGTCTCATTAACCATACACAATTACAACATAATGTTTCTATTAACTTATCTTGTGGAAATTTCACACTCAGTATGTGTCTACTAAAATATGCTTCATGATATCATGTCTCCAGATTCATTTGATCAGATAATGTCTGTTCAAAAGTCAATGTCTATAATACTTACCATGATATTAAAACCAGTATTCATATAAAATAATAGCAGTAATTAAAAAACTATTTCTGGTAATACTGAAAGTGGTAATGAAGTACTTTCTAAAAAGCATGCTTCATGTATATTTAAATTAGTACAAATGATTAGTAGTAATAAAATGCACAATACCCCAAAACCATTGATATGCTTTAGTTCCTTGTTAGGAACTTCATGAATGTGATGTTGTCCCTATTGTGTCAAAGCCCTTTTTATACATTCATCAGCCACTTTAGTAGGTACACCGATTCAAGAAATTATTAAAGTAAATATTTAATCAGCCAATGGCAGCAACGCCGTACATTTAGGCATGTAGGGGGATCAAAAGGGGGAAGAAAGGTGAGACTTTGAATGTACATGAGCAGGGTTATTTGTGACAGACGAGCTAGTCTAAGTATTCTGATCAAAAATAGAAGATCAACAATGGAGTACGTTTGGGAAGTGGTGGAGCATGAGATTAGCAGCATGATGCCATCATGTCGATATGAAACAAAATCCCTGATGAATGTTTTAAGCATCTTGCTAAAGATGTTATGGCTGAAGACAACAGGATCCAATCCAAAACTAGCAACGTATACCTAATCAAGTGGCAGGTGAGTGTATTTACCACTGAGAGCACCAAGATTTAGGAAACTACACTACGCTTCTATACTGACCCCAAAGTCAGTATTATCAGCACAATCCTAGATCAGTAACGGAACAACTCTACCCCTCATAACTCATTAACCTACTTGCCAACCAGAGTACAGTAAGTCTACAGTCTGTCGTTAGTCAACGAAAGCTCTTTCAATAACATCAGAATCCTGCAGCTTCTACCAGCTTTGAAGATTTAAGTTTGAGAAACCCCGGTCCAGGAGGAATTTGTGTTCAAGTTTTCTCCTTTATTCATTCCCTCACCTGCTAATAATCTGTCTAAAACAAGAAGCGAGGCCCTTGTTGATGAGTTTTCCAAACCTCTAGAGTGTCTCTCATGCACTTAGTTACAACAGAGGCTTCTCAGGATGCATGAAGATAAATGAAAAACAAACATGAACATAAGAAGATCCAGAGAATTTTATATCTAATCCTCATGTTTGACTCTGGAAGTACACAGCATGTCAATTCGAGTAGTGTAATAAGCAGAAGTTACTATTTTTTAGTCATTGTCAGATTTTATAATATCTGTATTATAGAAATGACTGTAATTAGAATATTTTTTTCCCTGAATAATACACAGCTTAACCTACATTGGTCTAGTAAATTAATGCATTTAACCAAGAACACATAGCATGCTAATGGCTACCATTTTTAGGATTTTAATCTACTAGACCGTTTTATTTCTTGTAATTAAAAGGCAAGTGTTTCTCTTAATAATGTAATTAACCTGCTGAAAGTACCACTCCATAAAATGTATAAATGTCCAGACCTTACAAGTGAGTGGGCAGGTACAAGAGGCAATTTAAAATGTTGGGCTCTTGTCTGCACCACTCGTAGTACATGGTACAATTCAGAATAAAGTACTCTGTGTAGACTAGAGTATCAGAGACAATATACAGTAGGTTTTTTTTGGGTGGTCTAAAAAAATATGGATGGGGCACATCTGTATTGCTTTTCAATTCAATTTCACCATACTTTGGTTGAGCGTGGTTGAGTGCAGCAGAACAGATAAGACAGGAATACATCATTAGTCCCTTTGTCCATTCAGCCCATGCACCAGTGCTCAGCTTTTGCTCATGCTGCCACTTTGAGTAAGGCATTTTAAAGAATAAATCATGCTAAACTCCCTCCACTGGCTTTCTCACTTTTTTTAACCTCTGAATTCATTTCCCAGTATGTGGTCTCCCTGGACCAGGGCAAGTTTGCCAGTCTGACGATCAAAGGCGTTTCCATGGAGGATTCTGGCAGATATACCATGATTGTCCAGAATAAATATGGAGGAGAGTCTGTGGATATAGTGGTGAGTGTTGCCGCTGTGTAACACAAATGACTGAATTTACTCTGAGCCGTCATCTGCAGCAGAAATATTTTCTTTCCATTGGTGCCCAACATGGGGATATATTTTGATCGCAGCAGCACAAAAACCTTACACGGGCCTGATATTTGACCTTGTTACTTTTGCTCACCCTGATTTTGACAGAATTAATATAAAATAATACAAAATCCAAATTTCTCTAAAATTAAAAATACCTAAATAATTTCTATTGATGATGCAATGTGCTGCAGCCCTTTAAACAATCCTTTTGTGTTCACCGCTGTAGTAAATGCACGTATGGGTATTAACATTATGTCCTTGTCTCGCTATTTTTATCTCCAGGTCAGTGTGTATCGCCATGGGGAGAAAATCCCTGAGGCAAAACCAACTCTGACCCCTAAAACAATCATCCCACCTAAATTACCAATCGAGATCCCTCAGCCTAAGACTCAGCCTGCTCCGAGCGCTGCCCCTTCAACTCCTAGCCCTGCCGCTCCTAAGGCAGCACTGGGAAGAGGGGTGAAGAGTCCTACTCCAAGTCGGAGGAAGTGAAAAGCAAGGCAGAAGAAACGCAATCACTGGTGCACAATTAGAACACACATAGCTGAGAAGCCTTTATTGGTGTTCTCTATCTGGACTGAAATGGAGCTAATACTCTTTGCATTAAATTAGAGCATCAAGAAAACCCTGACACATGAAATAAATCTTGCAATTGTGATGGAAAGAAAAAAATTGTTTCAATGTGAAATCATTGTATAAAATTATACTAGAATAATAAAAAGCTAGGCACTATCTAAACATGAGGAAATTAGAAATTAATTGAAATGAACTCGAATAAAGCTACAAATTGAATAAAACTTTCTGAAGAAAGAGTGAAATGTGTTTTAAATTCATTCTTGAAGTGTACAAATGACACCGCATGCAGTATAATTAAATATTAAATGGCTTGCAAATTACAGGAACATTGCCCAAAGTTAACTGACTTGAAGCCTCGATGCACCTTGGCACAATATTTCATATTTATCATAGTTAGGGGGAGTTTAACATGTTAGTCAAAACTTTTCCATAGGTATTAAATTGGGTTAAAGTCTAGTAAGTACAAATCCCAAAGGAGACCAGTAAACATTAATTTCATGCCCTATGGATGTGGGTTTTGTCCCCTGTAACCACGTGACCCATCCATCTTTGTTGTCATGCCACCAAAATACCCCCACAGCATACCAAAACCATGGGATCCCCTCACTGTAGAGTTTAAGAGCTTTCTCTTTAAATTCTTATCTGTGTCACAGAATATTTCAAGTAAACCAGAGAGATGGTCTGCTCCATCAAGGATTACTCTAAACATAGTTTAAAAAAATGCTGTGTTATGTTACAAAGTTGCTAGGGCCACTAGCTTTGACATGCCCTCACATCACTAACCTGCTGACTATTACCTGCATTTTTGATGGTGTCTAGCACCAGATGTTCTTGGTATAATCACATACACACCACTCCCATTTGCCTTTGATTATGGGGCTGAGGCAAGTTTCATTATGAGCCAGTGGAGAGAGGTGCGCCCTTCTTGTCTATATTTTTCTGAATATGATCAGTGGTTTGGCTCAGTCTCACAGTCATTTACATATTTAAATGCACAAAAACAACACAGGCTTAGTATCACAGCTCACAAGATCAGTGTTCATTTTATGTTGTTTAAAGGGAGAAACCCCCCCCCCCCCCCCCACACACACACACACACACAGACACGCACCTTTCATGAAGAAAAAAGGGACAGAGAGAAATAGGTCAGGCTGTACAAAGTAGTCATTATACTGCCACCTCAACAACACGGTCAACTGATGACTGCAAATGTATAACACCATCCTCCTTAAGATCACCATGGTGAACACGCTGAAGATTAACTGGCAGTGAATCACCATTAAGTAAACCAGAGCTGTGAAGCGAAGCTGTCATACTAACGCTGCTGCCTCTCAAACCGTCATTACCAAATTTTACCTAATATTAACTCCAACTGTTAGCAGAAGATATGCATTCTGCCTTGCAGCCAAATATGTTCAGTCCTCCTGGTCATCAGCCAGAAGCAGAAACAGACATGCTATAAGTAGTCAGGTTTAAAGACTTGAGCCCAAGTGCAGGAAGTTGTGATGGCAGAGCTGATGAAAGGATGGCTGATGAGATTTGTGGTTCATTAAAGCTGATGAGAGGAGCAGACGGAGAAGAGGGAGGGAGGGGCGCAGGGTAAAGTCATTGTTTCTGTGTTTGCTGTTGCTAATAAAAGAAAGCGATTACACTTTGCTAGCCTGTTTATTCATTCTGTCAGAGGAGAACAAGAGACGGGTTGTGAGAGAACTGAGTAATGGAGAAGGCTGGAAGAGAGAAACTGAGACTGTTAGGTTCCTCATTTTGAGTGTTACTTTTGTTGCTGATGCGTCTGCTTTGGCAGCATGAGACGAGTCTTGTCATGCTTGTTAAAAACTTGTGAATGAGCTGAGTGATTGGATGAAGGGGGGGTGGGGGGTGGGGGGAGTTTGTCTTATTTTCCGTGCTGTTGTGTTTTGCCTTGTTTTTTTTATCCCTTTGGACATGAAGACAAACTTCATCATGCCATAAAGTGTTTATATACACTAAGTGTGAAAGGAAAGGAGACAAGCTTGTGTGAGCGATGAATGCAGATAATTCAGTGTTGTGTGGCAATAAAGGACTTCTGAAGTGTGACAGAGGGAGACAGGAAGGGAAGGCTTGAGTGTATCAGAGAGAGCAGGAGGAAGGGAAAGGGAGACAGATCTGAATCATTTTGATGTTTTGCTGATCATCTGCTGTGAGATCATTTTCCTGACTTTTTAATTAATTTTCACATTTTTAATCAACATAATTACAGAGAATCCAAATGTTGCCATGGCAACCACTTTTTAATTTCAATAAACTTGGAAAATGACTCGTCTCTGCAAGACACACGGGTGAGCTGTGCACTCACAGAAATGCAATATGCATAGACACACAACCTGATCACAAACACACTTAAACACACAAATATATAACACACACACACACACACACACACACACACACACACACACACACACACACACACACAAATGTATATATAGATGGCTGCTATCTAAATGGAATAGCTAGCCAGTACTGATAGCATGAAATTGTGTTTCCAAATATAACACCGTGTCATTGGAGTGTACGAGTGTGTGTGTCTGTGTATGTGTGCTAAGAAACCAGACTATAGAATATATATTTCTTTGCAATCCTCCACATGGGGGCACTATGGGAACATGCACACACACATAAAGACTCTGTGGCTCACTTTTAGGCACATGCACAGCCTCGAACTTGCTCTCTCGCTCGCTCTCTCTCTCAAACGCACACACACACACACACACACACACACACACACACACACACACACAGGCCTGTCCTAATTAAAGCAGCGCTGTTCAAACAATGAGATAAACTAGGAGCAGAGACATTTTGTGGGTGTGCACTGACACAAAGCCACATT